TTGTGTTCGTTGTGCTGAGCTATATGTTCGCTGGGTCTCGTTGCATGCCTTTGCTGTACTACGATACATCGCGGGTGTGTACGAGACGGACGCTATGTCAAAGGCTGCTGGCCAAGGCTGCGGGGCTGCAGCTGTGTCACAAGGTATAAGAACTGTTGGTCCTTATATCCCCTATCCGCTGCCTGTCCACTGTGCTTGGCACGTACCTCACTGCACCTCGCCGCTACGTGTAGTGGCTTCATCCGATACCGGTTGCTGTTGCTGCTAGAAGATGCAGACAACAGGTGAGGCTCTGGGAACTGTCGCTGGCTGCCGCAGGCTGCTTCGGGTTGCTGCTACGGCCAACATTTGCCATACTAAGTACTTGTGAACTGCTGGACAGTGCAACAGCATGAGGAAGGTTGCACGAGCACCCTGCAAATGCACGCAAGTGATGGGCATGTGAAGGTATGTCGAGATTCTGAAGGGTTATCAACATTCAAAGCTAGTGTGTGGCAGCGTTTAGCCTGGGAAAAGGTGTTGGGGCAGGGAGGTGTGGCCAGAGCTGCGAAAGGGGTTATTACTGTGAAATTGAAGGATTGTCAGAGGTTTAGCTTCAGCGTTTGACTCAGAGTTGACCAAGCTGTTACACTTGGCCATCATTGCGGGGCTCTCAGGCGTTGAAGAATTGAAGGCCCTCTCCTGCGAGTCTGAGTGCACCCCTCTTGGATCTGAGAGTCTCAAACCTATTTTCTTTTGCCCTTCTTACTCTAAGTCTAGTCCATTGGTTTGGAGAGGAAGGCGGTAGGCAGGATTGCAACCCGTAATCCGTGCCAAGACCTCTGTGGGAGGTTTGCCCCACCGATTGCAGGAGCTCTGTCGGAACTCAGGAGGAGTTCTGGAGGCAGGGAACTAAAAGGTAACTATTTGCTTCCCTTCTGTAAACCCAGTTATAGCCCCTATCGATACATCCCCCTATGTATTGGCCGAGTGTACTGTATGCAACTCTACTTTGACGCTTAGTTTGACTTTCACGACACAAATTAGACTAAGTAAGGGAATGTATGTACAATGGCAGTTTCAGTTTTTGTTAGTCTGTCTGAAAGAAGATCTTAATAAAGGGATTGCATTAGGGGGAAGGTTGGGAGGAAGGCAGTTTTGCTTACGCTTGAACGGGTCTTATAGGGTTAGGCATTGTTTCTAAGATGAATGCCCCGACAGCTATGTTTTGTTTTGTTTTCTGAAGGGCCAAGCATTTTTTCTAAGACGAATGGCTTGGTCGCTGTATTTATTTAATTGTGCCAGACATTGTTTCTAAGATGAATGGCCTGACTGTTTATTTTGAGGGATATTGATTGTTTGAACTTTGAGGGTCAAACATTGTTTCTAAGATGAACGGTCTGGTCGCTTTTTATTTTAGGTGTTTTTGAACAGTCTCTGGGTCTTTGACCTAGAGTACTCTGCTTTTTTTAGTGCTGAGAAAGAAGGGGTTGAACATTGTTTCTAAGACGAATTACTGAACTCTTTTTTTGATTGTTTTATTCTGAGGGAGGTTTAGGCCAAAAGGCTGGACATTGTTTCTAGGATGAATGGTCTAAGTCTGAGGCCACAGGACTATAACGAGAACAAAGGAATAAGATTCTGTATAATTCTATAAATATGTATATATATGAGAACAAGGTTAGCCAGACATTGTTTCTAAGACGAATGGTCTGACTATAGCCTTATCACAAACTAAGAGAGCATAATTAAGAGCTATAATTGAAGGTAACCTGGGCAGGCTAGGCATTGTTTCTAAGACGAATGACTCAGCCCTACGCTCACTTCTTGAAGACTAAGGTTCAGAGAGGTATATATAACTTGGCTATCTAAACAGTTCAGGGCGACTAAGCATTGTTTCTAAGACAAATGACTTAGTCATATGCCCAATAAAGAGAAAAGTAGTTGTGCAACATGTTCGTGTATAACTAAGGCAGAAAGTTGGCATTATTTATAAGACGAATGACCAAACTCAATGCCCTATGTAAGCAGGGTATAATGGGTTAAATCATTGAAGGACTATGAACTATTGTTTGCTGAAGGTAACTTGGGTTGATGAGAGTACTTACCTTTGTGGTTTGGCTTGCATGTGGCTGAGTGAGATCACTACTTAGTCTGAGTTTCAATTTGACAGGTAGTTGCTTTAGAGGCTCGCCATGTGCTAGAGCGATAGGAGTTAGTGTCAATTCCTGCATTTTATGTGATAACTTTTTTTACTTAGATCAATTTCTGCATTTTCTGAAATCATTTATTGTACTTGAGCTTGTATAAATCTTGGTAAGCCACTTTTCCTACGGGAAGCGCTGCCGAAATTTCTGCAAATCCAACGAGTTAGTTAAATTCTGGCTTTTCAAAGTTCAACTTGTCTAAAGTTCATACATGGCTTAGTAAAAATCTGGGAAGTCTCCTTTTCTAAAGGAAGTGCTGCCCAATTTTTTGCTAAATAAGGGAGTTAGACAAAATTTGACCTTGGACAGTCAGAGACTATCTTTGTTCCGTATTTTGGGTTATATAAATTCTGAAAAGACACTTTTTCTACGGGAAGCGTTGCCAAAATTTTTTTAATTTAGGGGAGTTAGACTATATTTGACAGGTGACGATTCTGGTAATCCATCATGAGTAGGGAAGATTCTGCCATGAGTTTTAGGTACTGACTTAGAAGTAGACTTAGACATAGTTAGCTAGCAGAAGCTTGGGTGAGATCGTGATATGGAATTTATTCCCCATGGACTCATAGGCCTAGTCCTGGGCATTGACCTGTCTTGTGTTACAGGTCGTCGTGATCATCTCGATTCAAGACTTGGACTAGATTCAACTTGATCCCTTGAGGATCACCTTCTGTTATCACTGATAACAGCTCGGTTGTCGATTCGTCGGTTTAAGACTCAATTCCAATTCACCCTCAATACTCAACCTAAAAGGCTTTAACCCTGGTGATTTTATTGTTTTGTTAATCTTTGACCCGAACTTTTATTGAATGACCATTTAACAAAGGTACTGAGAATTTAATTATGGTTGGTTGGGCAGGAGGCTGGGGCTTGCATGGCTAAATCAAGGGTTATGAGTATAGAGAGTGGTTGGGGTTGACTCCGTGTAGTGCATGGGCTCTTGTTTGATTCTTTGATGTGATTGCACGTATGTGTTGTGATTCAGATTTTGGATTGGACTGCTAACGACCGCGCATACACATATGGTTGTGAGGAATCTCACTGTGACTGTGAGAAGTGATCGTCACGTACTTACCCCCTATATATGTGTGTATAATTATATTGAGTGTCCGTGCGGCCTAAGCGGGCCTCGCTTAAGGGTAAAAATCGGCGTTGGGGCCGAGAGAGGAAAGCAAACCCCCTTTATATCGTTGTGTGCTTCTTAGGGATTTCTTAGTCGTACGTTAGTCATGGGCCTGGATTCGAGGTCCTTGTCCAGGACAACCCAGACCCTAGAATCTGCAGAGAAGGAACCTTCCCTTGCGCAGAGCCTATCTGCCCTTCCCGTCGAGACACCCAACCCTAAGGGCAGAAATGTCGCGAGGGCTAAACGACATGTCTTTCAGCGGTTCAATATCGTGAAGGGTAACCCCTCACGATATATTCCTTCAACCATTCAATATCGTGAGGCCGAAACTGCGATTACCGCGTATGACTGGCATCGCTGGTTGATGTAGGACAGGCTTGCAACCGCGCAACTTTATATCAAAGTCCTGCGCACGACGTTTCACCGTCCTAGTGTCTCGAGTTATGGGATCAAGGGATTCGTATATATGCATGAGTGTTCCGGATCAGTATAGGCCGCTGGTGCCAGTCCAAAAGGTTACCCAAGGTTGTGATTTTGGGATAGGGAGGCCCTCGACCTATTTTTGTTTTTTAAGAGTTATGATAGTTGGACGTTGTAATCCGTGGCAGCCGTCAAAGTCAAACCCCTTGACTTCTTTTCGGGCCCTAGGTGATGGAGCTGGACTCCAGGGCCATAAGAGACAATTGCCACCACAGGTATGAACCTGTGTACCACCCACTTTCCGCAGGGTGCAGAAGAGGGTGTGGTTTTCAACCGCACTTGGCGGTTGTCCAGCTTCGAGAGATTAACCCTCAAGGCGAGTGTCAGCCGACACTTGAGTGTCGAATGCGACCCTCGAGATTAACGAGGACCGCGTGAGTATGGTTACTTCATAGTACGCCATCATTGCGACCACTTGTGTATGCTTGCATTGCGAGTCAGTATGAGTAAGCCTTATGGCCGTGCGGTCTTATAGTAAGCCTCGCGCGCGACGCCTATCCGACTTCCGCATCGGAGAGTTATGGGACGGCCACTAAGGGACTATGAGTGTTGTCGCGTTTGTTCGTCTGGTGTCGCTCTGTATATGTATGGTGCGTGTGTGTGTGCTTTTGCTGTATGTTACCAGAGTAGTGTGCGCGTGGTGATTGGGATACGTCGTAGTCGACCGACGACGGACCGCGCTTGGGACTTCAGCCCCCCAAGGTCTTGGTTCGCATACGGGTCCGATAGAGGAGTAATACCACGCGTACCCCCTATGCAACAGCGAACGAGAAACGCCCTCGGCTGGTCCACCTCTGCGATTGCAACTGTTCAACTTTCATACTGTGGACTGGTAGCTCGACGGGGATATGCCCACCGAAGGGAGGTGACAACTCCTGTAAGGTGGAGTTAAGTCGTGCCTCGCGTAGCCCCTGTCCTGTCGTAGGGGCTCGCGAGAGGTATGGTTGGCGCACTCGGCCGGAGCGGCTTGCGGAAGCTCCGTGTACATTCGCGATGAGGATCCAAACTAACTCTTGCGTGACGCGGCCGGGAGGGTCCCGCGCTGCCTTGTGCGGCGCCGGACCAATGCGCTCGACAGCGCGGCCGAGTTTGCCCTCAGCTGCACCAGGGCCAGGTGGGGGTGCGTGCGCCGCCTGCGCACGTCAGCCACTATCACCCTATCCAAAAAAAAAATCAAAATTTGAAAATTTGGGGTGGGTGGTTTTCGGTGATAAAAGCTAGCAGTTCCTTCTTCCTCGCATCAAGAGTGTTGATGGGCGGCACCTTTTGGCTGAAGTACTCAACCGGATGCTAGTCTGTGTCGTCATGCTGTTCCAAAACCACACCAATGTCGTAGCCGGAAGCGTCTGTAGTCACTTTGGTAGGCAAGGTTGGGCCATAGATGCTTAAGACGGGAGCTTGGAGCAAAGTCGTCTTCAACATATGGAACGCGTGCCGGGCTTCGTCGTTGAACTCGAAGGGCACCAAGGGGGACTGAAGTCGCAACAATTGTGCAACGATCCGCTGAAATCCTTTGATGAAGCGCATGCAATACGATGCTAAGTCGAGAAAGGAGCGGACGTCGGTAGTACACTTGAGGTCCGACCAATCTTGAATGGCTTGTACTTTGTCCGCGAGCGTACGAATGCCTTGCGACGTAACGTAATGACCCAAGTACTCCAACTCTTGCTGGACAAACTCGCACTTGTCACGATTTGCCTTGTACTTGGCGATACGGAGCCGCTCCAAAACGGCACGAAGGTGCTCGAGGTGCTCGTACAGCGTCCGACTATAAACCAAGATATCATCAAGGTAAATAAGTACAGCACGGTCGAGCAGGTCGCGGAATTCCGTCGTCATAGTCGCTTGGAAAGTAGTCGGGGCATTGGTGAGACCGAAAGGCATGACGATCCACTCAAAGTGCCCATACCGCGTCTTGAATGCGGTTTTGTACCGATCTCTTGGCTGGATCTCGATCTGGTGATATCCGGGCTTGAGGTCAAGCTTCGAGAAGTACTTGGTGCCGCCTAGTCGCTCGAGAAGATCATCGATCCGAGGGAGAGGGTCAGCGTTCTTGATCGTTTGCGCGTTAAGTTTTCGATAGTCGATGCACAAACGAAGGTCCTTGTTCTTCTTCCGGACGAAGAGAACGGGAGCACCGTATGACGAATAGCTAGGGCGAATCCAGCCCATGGCCAAGAGGTCGTCTAGTTGTGCCCGAAGCACTTGAAGCTCCTCTTCGCTCATGCGACAGATACATCCGCGCGGAGGTATGATGCCGTCCTCGAGAGTGAGTTCGGTATGACTCCGGCGGGAGCTTGGAAGACATCCTCATAGCTGTCCAACAACTCAATGATACGTGGGTCCGACGTATCCGTCTTGGGCTGATCACCGGGTGGGAGGGTGTGAAGAAAACATATGCCCATCTCCTCGATGTCGTTCCGCCGGATGGATTGGCGAATGCTCGCCGCGGAGACCACGTGACAACCAATCGAAGGATGAGGAAGCGGCACCGTACACGGGACTAGTTCGCCACGCCGATCACGAACGTGAACGGTGCGTCAATATAAATTCACCGGATGGTCTTCGCATTGCAGCCACGACATGCCGAGGATCATATCAAACTTGGTGTCCAATATGTCGAAAGCCACGGCCTCGCATCCTAGTGGGGCAAAGTACACGGGCACCGAGTCAACGCATCGGTCGATTGACTTTTGCGTGTGACCATCGGCCAACGTGACGTGCGTAGGCTGACTTTTCTTTCGAACGCACGGGCCAAGCCCGACGTGTGTCATGAAGTCTTGGCTGATGTAGTTGCGAGTCGCTCCACAATCGATCAAGGCACTGCAGGTCGCCTTTCCGATCTGAATGCTGATGTAGAGGAGCGGTGCGTCGATGTCGACGTACCGTTGCGTTGCGTACTCGCGGTCGATCTTTGCAAGATAGTTATGAAGGTCAACAACCGCTACTCCGCCGTCCGTCGACGGAGGTGGTACTGCAACGTGCAAGTATTCGCGCAAATGTGCCATTAAGGCGTTGCGATGCAATGTTGGCAAAGAACCGGTGGAGGGAAGAGGCAACCATTGGAAGTCCTCAACCGTCAACGGGTCAAGTTCCTCAAGTCTCGCCCAAGTTGACAGGTCCTCCGATAGAAGGGCTGGCGAAGCAACCGGTTCGTTGTCCGACGGCGGAACTACCGCGCATGTGCTTGAATCTTGCACGTGGAGAGGCTGGTTCAACGGTGGGACCAGCTCGACAACATAGTTCTCAAAATCGATGCGAGAACTTGCGACTACCGCATCATCCCCGGATGTGAGAGAGACTGCTAGCAAGGCAGCCGACTCCGGCGGATTGGGAAGTGATGTCGCTGCACTTCCCGCGGTGCTCAGTTTCCCGAGCTCGGATGCTTGACATTTTCATTGTCCTTGTTGAGGCATGTGCTAGTGATGTGTTTGGTGCTGTTGCACCAAAAACAGCATCCCCATTTCTGCCTCAGCTTGAACATGTCTTCGGTGATACTGAATTTCGTCCATGGTGCCTGTCGTGCTCCATCCGTCGGCGCTGGTTTCGCCTTCTGTTTTCCCCCTCGGGGTCGTGAGTGTTGCGGTGGTATCGTTGCCGCCACATCTCAGTCACTTGATGTAGACGCGGCTGCGTGGTCCTCACTTGGTCCTTGCTGGACTGCAGCGACTTGCGGCGTCCGTTGACCTTTGCCTTTCTCCACATAACCGGGTTGTTGGCGGGCCTCGTTGGCCGTGCGTTGGTTACCTTGGATTAGTTCTTGTACCTTTGAGATCATGTCATCAAAGGTCTCATACTGGAATTCACTGCCCAGCGCAGCTGTCAAAGCGTCGCGTGACCGAGCGAAAAATTCGGCCCAGATTGCATCGAACGGTAAGTTCAACTCCGGGGTGGCGACAAGTTTCTGCCACTCTGTCAACCACTCCCGTGAAGGTTGCTGGCCTTGAAACATGCAAAAGATCTTGTTCAAGGCGTGACGTTTGTCGTTGCTGACCATGAACCGGGTCTTCCATTTCTTCTCGAATTCCTCCCACGTAATCTTAGTGTGGAGGGTGGCGATGGTGCACTCCAACGTCACGGCCATGTGGGTCATGAAAGCCTGCGCCCCTCCGATGAGTTGGAGGTAGAGTGCATCAAGCCGCCGTAGTGCGGGGGTGTGATGTACATCCGCCTCCGCGTTGAACGCCATCCACCATTGCAATGGATCGGTCTTGTGGTAGTCGTCAAACTTCTCGATCTTGAAGTTTGGCATCTTCCATTCCTTGGCGACAGCGGCCGGTCGTTGCTGAACGCGGTCGCTGAGCATCTGAAACTGATTGCTGACTGTCGATGCTCCAGCAAACTTGCTGATGTCGCCGAGGGATGCGACCACGTGGTTGATCCGCTCTTCGAGTTGCTTGGCCTGCGTGGCCAAAGCTGGGCTGCAGTCTGCTACTGCACGGCCCCATGACTCAACTGCAGACAATCGTGCCAACCCTGTGCTGTTATCGGTCTGTAGTTGGTCGTTGATGGCCTGCTGCTGGCGGTTCGCGTTCTGCAAGGCGGTGATCTTCTGTTCCTGCGTTCGAAACGTTGTTTCGTAGCGGATGAAGATCTGCAGCATGGGCAGTAGTTCGCGTTGCTGCCAGTTGCATGTGTATAGCAGGTTTTCCATCAATATTGTTGTAACTTCCTTGTCGCTTTCTTCCTCGGCCGGCTCTTCCCATTCTTCGGTTGCTTGGCTGTCGTCGAAGTAGCCTGCCGTACCTGGCTTCGTCTCGTGCAAGGTCCATCGTGGCTTGGTAACGAGCTTGGTTTTGACTTGCCTCGGCCTGCTGCGTTGCAACCGTGTGGCTGCTGCAGCTTCTGCTGCGGCCTGCTGACGCGCTGCCTCTGCCTCTGCCAGCTGGCGTTGAATTTCCTGCTGGCGGGCGCCTTCCTCCTCTTCCCTTTTGCTGAGTTCAGCTGCCGTGGTCTCCGAGTAGAGCTGGGGACGTTTGAGAAACGCTAGTAGCGGTTCCTCAGCCTGCTGAACTAGGACAGGAGGGGTAACCGGCCTCTTGGGGCTGGTTTGTGAATTGACGTCAGCGGTAGCGGCCATGGTCGTGCGTCGCCTGCGCGGGATCCGAGGTGTCTTAGGTCCCTGTTGGGGCTTGGTTCCTGCGGATCCGCGCTCCGCCAGTCATTGATTGCGGTGCATTAAGTACTCTGGTCTTCGTCTGCTGCTGACGTGTCACCGCTGAGGTGGCACCTGCTGATATGGCACTGCTGAGGTGGCCGCTGTTGACCGGGCACTCGGCTGTCGTGGCACGCTGAGGTGGCACGCGGCTGATGTGGCAATCTGCGTTCGTGGCCCGCTGCTGATGTGGCACAATGCTGACGTGGCCGGAGACTGCCGTACCGAGAGGAGGAGAGAGAGAAAGGTAGGGTTGGAGGAAGAGCAGAGAGGCAAACAATGCACAGACAGTCCGTTTCTCCCCTGACCGCGCAATTTGACACTAATCAAAAGAGAAAAAAAAAAATCCCTCCCCCATGAAAATTTCGAATTTTGAGAAATTCAATAAATTTTAATCAGAAAAATATGAATTAATAAAATTTAATTTTGGCAAAAGATTAAATATTTAATGAAAGAATATTTAAATTTGCAATAATTAATTTTGCAAAAGTTAAATATTTAATTAAAGAATATTTAAATTTGCACAAATACAAATGAATAAAGTTTAAGCAAGTTAAAACAGTTAAACATAACTTTAATAATTTCACGAAATTTAATCGGGAGCATTTAGCATCATCACGAGGTCACTAAGTAAGTAGAAGATGAATGGTAGTAGGAAGATACACAATTTGCTAGAAAGATTCACCCTTTAACTGCAATAAAAGATGCGTTTTGCAAAAAGTGAAAGTCCCGTGAAGTTTTAGTTTGAATGTGGCCGTGCTCAGGCCCGATCTGCTTTTACTGGCGTGGTGCCTGGCTGGCACTTACTTCCCATAGGTTGATAAGCCGTTTAGATTAGGTTAGGACTAACCCTAATTAGCGCTAATTAGGTTACTCGTAATTAGTGATTCCCTAATTTGCGCAATATGGAGAAAAAGTCGCAAAACCTAAAATTATAATTTAACGACCTAATTACTATGTGAGTAGCACTGAGTACAAGAAAAAGAAGAAAATTTGCAACTTGCGATTTTAATGATAACAGAGTACAGGTGTGATAATCAATCAATCAATCAATCAATCAATCAATCAATCAATCAATGGTGAGTCATCCAATGCTGGTCTGCTCCGATACCAAACTGTTGCATACTCGTGAAACACAGTCATAAGTATGGCGCAGATTCCCAGAACCGACCAGATAAGACAGAGTTAATACGAATGCAAGCGGAAGACTTGAGATACCTTGGACTGACTCGGACCTGACTCGGACTGCAATAGAACACTCTCAAGCATTCATCAGGGGTGTGAAAGCCCTGGCCTTAGACATAGACGAAAGGCCAGGGTCTGAGATCATCCACAGACGAATGGAGGGAGGAGAGAGACGAAGGGAGGAGGAGAGGGAAGATGACGTCAACTCAATGTTTCCAAAGATAGTTTTTTTTTTTTTTTTTTGGTTCTAAAAAAGAAAATTTGGACCATTTCTCGATTTATGCGTGTCATCCTTGCGCAGGGGCCATGCTAATCTTCTCTGTATCGTTCCAATTTTAACGGATGAAATGTCAGAGGTAACGAAAATCCGAAATGTCGCGAATACAATGCCTCACAGTGTCTCAGATATCGATCTCACAATGTCAAGTACATCTCCGGAGGAAGATGAAATCAGATCCCACAAATAGTCCTCAACCTGTAATCCCAATGTCGCTGTCTCCAATGCTATCAGAACTCGTAACCATCCTTCAGACTCATGGTAGTCCCGTAGGAGACCCGGAAGTAGACTTAGACTGAGAAGG